AACCGCTTCAGAAGGGGCTGGGGGCTTCAGGTGGGCTGAAAATGTCACTGTGCCTCAGAGCGGCTGCACCTCTGCCTTTCCCCGTGAATCACCCACTCCTCGAAGTTAAGTCCGGCTGCTTCATCTGGAGCGAAGTGAAGGCCACACGAGGTGCAGAGGTAGCCCTGTTGGCTGTGGCCAGAGTGTCTGCAGAGGGAGGGCAGCTGCCTCTGGATGCCTGTTCCTGGTGCTCTAGATGATGAGAAGGGCTCGTTTAGGGGCAGATGAGATTCCAGCGTGTGCGGTGTGGAGGGCATACCCCTCCTCCCAGGCATGGGGTGCCATTTAGTTTCTCTCAGTGCTGGACGGGGACTTGGTAGAATTGATTTGGCAAAAAGGTTAATGTGTTGTTACTGCTGCCAGTTGGCCCGTTGAATTGCTAGTGATTGAGGTAGGGGAAGCATTTAATTTGACACACTGAATGCAGGTCCACCAGAGGCTCATCTCTGTTTGCAGAACTGTGTGTGTGTGTGTGTGTGTGTGTGTATGCACGCATGCATGCATGTGTTTGTTAGATATGTTGTGCTCTTATTCCCATCAGCCTCTCCTGTTGTCCAAGGGGTCATCAATACTATTCTCTGTCTGCTCACCAGCCCCCCTCTCCTGACCCCTACAAAAAACACAGAGTGTTTTTCCTGTTATTAGAAAACTGTGTAAATACACCCTGCGTCTTATAGACCAGGGGACTCCTAAATAGGATGCACCCTTGATGATCCACCAGGGCAGCAGACAATAAACTACAGCTCATGGCCAAGTCCGTGCAACCATCTGTTTGTATAAATAAAGTTTTATTGAAACACTGGTCTTTGGGGCCAGTGACCTATCCTCTGTCCTCCCAGGGAGGAGCTGATGCTGTCTGCCATTTATTTCTATGTTCATTTGCTCAGTCCGTCACCAGCAAAGGTTTCATGGAGATTTACCCCACTCCATGACCTGTACCACACACAGGGTTCACCAAGTCATGGACATTCAGTAGCTACCCTCAAGAGGCATTATTAGAGGAAAAATTGGAAATGTAGAGACACCTTTAATGGAATCTGATGAATGTTGGGGAACCTGTCAGAGCACCATAGAGGAGCATTCAGCGGTTCTATGAAGGTATACTCAAACTGGACTTTGAGGGTTGAATGGGAGTTTTGGCAAAAGAAGAAAGGTGTTTAGAGAAGAGTATAGTAAGTAGAAGAAAAAGAATGTAGGAATCCTAGGCTTGAAACTACAGGCTGTATCTGGGAGCTTCGCATGATTTGTGGCTGCACAATCCTATTTCCTGTAGGAGAGGTGAAACAGGGCACGTTAGGAAGGACCTGAGCACGGCACTGCATTTCTACTACCTGAAAACAATATGAAGAATATCCATCACAAAGGAGATGGAAAGCCAAGCTGGCCCATTGGCCTGGAGCCCCCCACAGTGACTGGACACGAGTGCCAGCTAAGCACAGCGCAGGGCTCAAGTCCTGCTCAGAGGACCAGAAGCCCGTTTCCTGCCACGCCATACCCTGTTCCTCTGCTGACCAGGTCACCCTGCTCTGGCTGTGTCCCTGTGTGCGTGTCCCCAGCATGGCAGGTATCTGGAGTGGGCCAGGGCTACTGCCACTCACCACCAGCTGATGATGAGACAGGGTCCCCTGGGGCTGGAGAACCCCCTCAAGGAGGCAGAGCCAGTTAGAGCGGCATCTGACTCTGAACCCGAGTCTGTCAAAGCTGGAGTCCCCTCAGCCAGCCTCTTTCCTGGAGGAAGGTGGCATGGGGGCACTTGGCCAGTTGCCCTGGCTGCTGGGCTGATTGATCACAGGCGGATCTTTCAGCTCACGGCCAAGTTGGGTGTCTTCCCGTCATCTCCCCTTCTCTCTCCAGAGCCTGGTTTCCAAGGGTCCACGCTGCGGGTTCTTGGCTTTGGAAACGGTGGGCATAGTTTTTATACTTGTTGCTGTCCCCCACGGTCACAGCCATCGCCCTTCCCACTCACTACTGACCTGGGTGCTGGGCACAATGTGGAGGGGCCTCCTCTCACTGTCTCCTGGTGGGAGTCACTCCCTGGAGAGGGGTCTGTGGGACTCTTGTCCCCTTCTTTTCTTTGGCTCTGTTTGGGAATGTAACATTTTAAAGCTCTTCTTGGCTGGAGGATTTTTTATTGTAAACATAAAACGTTCATTGAAACATTAAACATTTTACAGCTGCTTTTCAGGACATAAATTTTCATGGACACCTACCCCCCTCACTGCCACACCCTCCTCATATATTTCTCCTCCTCTGCCTTTTCTCCCCCCCTCCCCCTGGCTTCAAATAGTTCCAAGACCAGAGTGGAGGGTAGGTAGGGGGCTAAATTACAGGTAAAATACAGCGGCTGGTGTAGCTCACGCAGTTTGGAAGGCTCGTTGTGTTTAGTGCGAGGAATGCTGGGAAAGCCAAGGCCCTCCCTGCTCCTTCCAGCCCCAACCTGAGCCACTATGAGCTAAGCCCACACCTGTCCCAAGGACGGCCCCAAATGCCTCCACTCACTTCTCTACCTAACAACAATACGATAACACGGCCTTCATCGCATTCTGTTTGTGTGTCAGTGTTCTCAATAGCTCACAACAGCCCTATGAAATAGGTGTACTCTTAATTACTTTCTGGATTGTAAAAATGAAGGAGCAGAGACTTGGAGAAGCCTAGTTTGTGAATTATCTGGCTCTACAAGGTGGAATGATATTCAAATCCTGCACCTCCCTACCTATTCTTTTTCTTTTCTACTGAGAACTTACCACAATTTAAATAAATGCAACATTCCCAAGTTGTTTTGCAGTATCAGTTATCCACAGTCACCTGTGATCTGAAAATATTTAATGGAAAATTCGAGAAATAACAATTCCTAAATTTTAAATTACATACCATTCTTCTGCCCTGTCTTGCCCAGGATTGAAATCATCCCTTTGTGCAGTGTGTCCACCCTGTATGTACTAACCTCCCATTAATCATTTAGTAGCCATCTCAGTTATCAGGCCCACTGTTGGTTATGCAAGGCTTATTTTACTCAATAATGGTCCCAAAGAACCAAAGTACTGAAGCAGACCACCCAGATATGCCAAAGGGAACCTGTAAAGCACTTCCTTTTGAATCACAAAGGCTCTGTTACTTTTCCTGGTTTCAAGCATCTACTCCTTTCTTAGAATGAATCCCCACAGATAAAGGGGAACTACTGTGGACATTTATTTCCCATTCTATGCCTGTCTGTCTTCCTCAGTGTAATCCCATGAACTTGCCTCACCCACGGGTAGGTGCTGAGGACATGCCTGGCAGGGCTTCCATTGCTAAGCATACCTGAGCACAGTAAGTAGCTCTGTCTTCAGTCAGCTCCTAGATCAAGGACAAATTGAACCTTTCTCTCTGCCTCAGTTTCTCCACCTGTCAAGGGAGAGTCCTGTTCTTGTTCTCTTGGGTCTGAGACTGAACATCCCATGGTTCTCAGACACTCACATCTGAAATAGCAGTTCTTTGTGGCAGCTCTGCACAGAGCCCCCCAAGCAGTTCCAAGTCCATCTGTACTGCAGAGTGTTGAGGTTGGCCAGGCCCTTGGGCTCTGCAGACCCTGGAGTGCCCTGCCCGTCATACAGTGCATTTCTCATAGACCAGCTTGACCTGGACCTCACTCATACATTTTTGCACCTAGTATTTATCCAGTGCACCCTGTGCATGTGATAATATCCTGGGGTACAGAGTATGAGCAGGTACAGACCCTTGGGCAGAGAAGCCATCAATACATATTCAATGAATGAGTGAACCTTGTCTACACCCTTACCAAAGCTCATGACTGATACCTTGAAAATGGCCCAAAAGTCTATGTCCAAATCATTACTGTTGCCAGGTGATAGAAGTAGGTAACTTTTTCTAGGTAGACCCTCAGTCATTTCCATATGCGGCCTTTCCTGTGCGTTGCTCCTTGCCAGGCCCTGGGGATACGTAGTTAGATAAAATAGAAGCTTTGCCTCATCCCTGCTGGCTGTTAAGTCCACCTCCCGGCTGCTTGCCACCAGTTTCCTCAGGGTCTTGCCCGTTTCTGCAACAGGCCTACTTTTCCACGGGAAAGGCCCTGGGTCTTATTACAGCGCGGCCGCCATCAACATGCCCTGACTGGTTAGCAGATGGCAGCTGCCTGAAGTCACTGAGTGCAGATAGGAATCAACAGGGGAGATTAGGTAAAGTGCTTATTGGAGGTGCTGTCAGGGCCCGTGGCAGAAGGGTTCCCTCCGGCTCACAGCTTGCCCTCTGCTGTTATATTTCATGCACATTCGCATTATGCTCCTTGGTGATATTACATCTGCATGCACCTTGCCCTCTGACACGACAAACACAGACGCTGCCCAAATGCTTGTAAAGCAATCTGTCTAAGGAGGAAGAGGCAGCTCTGGGAGGAGAATTGATTTGCAAAACATCCTGACATACGGTCTCTTATTTCTCCTCGCAATCAAATAATTTATCTTTATACTCCTTGGGCCACAGTGAAATTGGAACCTGGCGAAACCAGAGACTGCAGGGTTTATTTGTAGCAGTGGGAGCAGAGTAGTTAGCCAAGTGCATTCTAAAATTATCAATTGCTGATCACATGGCCCCGTGTGCAATGGTCCTCGCAGGGCCCCGTGGATCAAGGCATTGGTGGGCGAGGGCTGCCGCACGGATGTGCACAATGAAAACCAGTTCTCCCATGCAGCCAGTGCCATGGAGGCTGTGCCCATTTTATAGGTGAGGAAACAGAGTCCCAGAGAAGTTCAACCCCCTCCCATGTAGCAGAAAAGTGGGAAATGGACTTACATGAGAGTTACAATCGAAAACGTTTAAATGTTTAAACATTCCACACAGATTTTGCATCAAATAATTTAATGAGGAGAAAGAGAGAGAGGGAGTGAGCCAGTGCCAAAATATTCAAGCTCAGGTTTTGGATTCTGGTGGTAGAGTAATAAATCACCATGACGCCTTTAACATTTATGTTTTTTTTTTTTTTCCTCTTAACATTAGGAGTATATAAAATAGTTAGGAATTTATTTTAGTGGAGAAAGAATGAAAGTGAAGGATATGCATTTGGTTAGTTATGGAGCCTGGGCGAGGTGAGAGGAAGTGTTTTCTGGTCTCGTAGCTAGAGGAAAAATTACAGATCTTAAAATAGGTGTCATAAGTTACACGGCTGTGAAAGCAGGCCCGATAGGTGGCCTCCATTAAAGGCGCGGTGGATGCGAATCTTGAGTTACCTGGAACACAACTGTACTTCCTATATTTATCCGGGCTTTTTATAAACTGTTGCCCTTAACACCTCAGGCTGACACCCACATCCTGGGTGGTTATTTAATACCAAATTTGACTTTCTTCACTTTGAGGGTCCCCGAAACAGACAGAAAGCAGCCGTGACAATTCAGTCTTCCACTGTTGACAGGCCAAACGCTGTTCGGCAGAGTGACTGGGATCTGCCCCTCTGGCCTCCTTGTCTGTCTTCTCCTTTGGCCTCAGCAGTGAACAGACCATGATGAGCCACCCCCGAGAGAAAACAGGACAGCACATGGGGAGCATTTCCAAATTCCTCTGTGCATCCTAAAAACAAAGAGGAAAAGAGAGCAGAGGAGCAGGATCAGCTGCAGCCATAGGAGGGGAGGTCTCACTGGGGAGGAAGAGGGCCTCGCCCTGGCCAGGCCAGTGGAGGGCCTCCTGCCAAGCCCCATTCCCCCGCAGCACTGAAGTGCCAGGCACGTAGTACCTGTCCTGTCAGTGTCCTTAGGATCTGAGAGGGGACTGTCACCAGGACTCCTAGGTGGGCAATGAGAAAAGAAAATCCCTAGTCGGATCCAGAGGTCCCACTTCTGGCAGAGAAATACAAGAAAGAGCACCCCTCCTTCCAAAGTGAAGTCCAGGGGCTCAAGAGAAAATGGCACTGTGCACATGAAAGGCAAGCGTATTTATTTTAGTTTTCAAACAATGTGTAGAGTTTCATTAGAATAAAAAAGGAGATGGATAGACCAGCAACCTAGATGATTTCATGCCATCTAGCATTAAATTTGGTTGGGTTTCCTGGGAGCCAAAAGCAGAGGTCTCATTAACCATTAATTTAAAACAAAACAAAAACCAGACACTTACTGATACACCTTTGTTGTGGAGCTTAATTCTAAGAACTTATGGCATGTGGGTGTGTGGATGTGTCTGTACACCGCTGCTCAAGCAAGCCACAAATAAAAAGACAAGCTGGTTCGATGTCACTGAATAGAACTTACTAAACATATCAACGTACCCTTCTGTCAATCAAGCAGCCTTCTACTTAACTAGATGTAAACATTAGAGTGTGAGAGTGAACTATGAATTAAGGGCACAGTTTCTGAAGAGTTACAAAAATATGTAACCCCAGTTCACGCCAACAGTCTGATTTGTCATGATAAAAAAAAAAAAAATCCTGTGTTTTAGAGTAAGACAAACCAAGAAGAATAACTCTGTGGTGACTCACCTCGTGCCTCTATGTGGAAGTGAGCTATCCCAGGGCCTCTGCAGAGGGCCTGCATTTTTCTTTAAAAATGTAGAGAGGAAGAGGAGAAAAGAGAGCACAGAATCCACTCAAGGAAATGAACAAGAGTCCTGACCCAGATTACTTAAAACAAATAAAGAACAAGTCTTTTATCAACCCATAAAAGAACTCTCTACAGCTTTCATATAGTATCTAACATTGAGGGATTTGCTTGGACACATAAATCAAAATATACCTTTGAACAGCTAAGATTTGAAATCTTGGTGTATTTTCCCATAAGCATTGGGAATATTGGGTTAAAACAAGAGTGTTCTTTCTAATATATTTTAGCTAATAGACTCAGAGGTTTTTTAAACCCACGCCACAGTCTCAATAATACCTGTAGGGTTAACATGTTTGTCATCTGTTTTCCCACGATAGTCACCAGCTTGGTTAATATTTATGGAGAACTGACCACGTGCCAAGGGCTTTACATGCACCATCTTGTTTAATCTTCAGGACAACTTTATCAGTGGTGTCCAGTGAATTCAACCAGATGCAGTGGCCTGGCTAGCCATCCTAGCATTCCAGGAGTCAGTCTCCTGTCCCAGTCTTCCTGGTCCCTGCTTGGCTGGGGGCCACCTGGTGGTGACTGTACCCTCCAGCCTAAACATCAATGGGGATAATTCTGGGTCCTTTGTCAGAGTGGTCCTTGTCTCTCTTGGCAGGTGGTACTACAGTGTTTTTCTACATTATAGCCTCCTCCTCCTCCTCCTCCTCCTCCTCATTGCTGACACTTCTTACCATGTGGTTTTTGTTACTGTAGCTCTGCCGTATAATTTAAGGTCTAGGATTGTGATGCTTCCTGCTTTCCTTTTCTTGCTAAGGATAGCTTTGGCTATTCTGGGCCTCTTATTTTTACAGATGAATTTCCTGAGTGCTTTTTTCTATTTCTATGAAGAACAACATTGGAATTTTGATGGGAATTGCTTTGGTTAATATGGACATTTTGACAATATTAATTCTGCCTATCCAAGAGCATGGGGGATCTTTCCATCTTCTAAGGTCTTCCTCAATTTTTTTCGTTCGTGTCCTATAGTTTTCACTGTAGAGGTCTTTCACCTTTTTTGTTAGAGGATTGGAAGAACTCTTCCAAGATGACATGGCTCATAAATAGTAGAGATGGAGCAAATCTGTCTAATGCAATCCAAGTCATCCATTTCAAGGGGGGGGGGAGAGAAAGAGAGAATATGTCCAAAATGGTGATTATTAATTAGTCATTATTATGAACCCTTATAATCACTCAGCATTGCTAAATACTATTACATTGTGATTAAAAACAGATTTGGCTGGACATTTCTCTTCCTTGCAGCCCTGGAGAAGCCATCCTTTCTATGCTAGGTCATTGGGGATGGCTCTGGAAGCCCCACTTCCTGCCCTGCCATTCCGATTCCCCTTGTCCGAAAAGTCAGCTGATGGGTGTTCAGTGAATTTCCAGGAGTCGGGCACCGAGTCTGACAGCCCGAGGCCAGTGTGCCAGCTAGTCAGTGCCACATCACGGTTATTGATGAGCAGGTGACCATCCCAATGAGAACTGAGTGATCAGTGTTTCAAAGGAACTGGCAAGGCCTTCCAACGCCAATGTTCTCTTACCTCTTAACAATTCCTTTCTCTTTCCTTTCTGAATTCCATTCTTAAACTTTTCCTTCTCTCCAAACAAATGGTGTTTATTAAAGAAAAAAATTATTTTCTCATTTACCAACCAGAGTTGCATCCTTTGGATGTTTAATTACATCCCAAAGCATGGAAATTGGGCAATTTAATTAGCAACCATAGCCTCAAACACAAACAACTGCAGGGTTTTTGTTTAGTTTTTTCAAGAAGTCGGGGGGTGGGGGGATCTTCCTGAGCAGCACCAGGTCTCCAGTGTCCTTTAGTGTCAGTGGTCTGGGGTCACAGGGCCATTTTGCACAGGTAGGAGGGCAGTATGCACAAAGAGCTCACCACAAGAGCTTTATAATACATAGGTGAGAAGAAGGCCTCCCTCCCCTTGAGGCACCTGATCCCAGGAGTGTGGCAGAGTGTGGCAGACATTTCCAGAAGAAGATAACACGTGCATTGGGTGGCCTACGACCCCAGGCCTGGGCAGCTCAGGCCTTGCCATTCCTTGGGCCATGTCCTTCTGTACTGGGATGAAGGGGCCTTGTAATGAACAGGGACATTTTGCATCCAGTGCTTGCAAGGGTGTCCTACTGGTGTCATAATGTCAAAAGCTTGTTTGTTGAATAGCCTTTCTCTGAGACCCTCAAGTGCCCTACATTCCACTGGGATTCCTGGGTGATTTGTCACCTGAAGAAATATGAGCTGTTTTGGTAGGGGAGGAGGAGCCTCCCAGGATGTGACCAGAGTCTATTCAGAATGATGCCTGCAGGCTGCTAAATACATTGAATGTTGTCCTGAAGCAGGGCATGGGGGTAATTGCCAAAACACCCCTGCATCAGCCACATACAAATCCTGCCACATCTCCTAAAACCAGAATCTACCCACTGACGAACAGCCTGGGGTCCTCATTACCACCCAAGTCTTATCCTCCTACATGCACTAGTAGTATTAGGATTATCACAGTTTGAGGGAGTTGTTCTTAGGACTAAGGAATGAGAGAAGCACATATCTAGAGGGATGGCTTTCTGGCATATTCTCAGTCTGGACAAAATGGTAGCTCTTTTTTTTAGCAGGGCACCGTGACACACACCTGTAATCTCAGCTACTCGAGTAGCTGTTGCAGGAGGATCACAAGTTTGAGGCCAGCCTGGGCAGTTTAGTGAGACCCTGTCTCAAAATAAAAAGGGCTGGGGGTGCAGCTCGCTGTTAAAGCACCCCTGGCTTCAGTCCTTATTATGACAAGGAAAATGTGGTAGCATTTTTAAAAATTTGTATTTATCAGGGACTTGTTTATTGGCACAGATTGTACAATTATGGGGTACAGCGTAATAATTCAATATGAGTATACAGTGTCATGATCAAGTCAGGGTAATGAGCACTTCCAGCTCCTTAAACATTTATCATTTGCTTGTGTTGGGGATTTTTGAACTCTCCTATTTCTTATAAAATATATAATAAATTGTTGTGCCCTCTAGTTACCCTACTGTGCCGTAGAGCACTGGGACTTGTTCCACCCATGTCACCACATTCTGGTGCCCATTATCCAACCTCCCTGTGTCCTCCCTGCCCTTCCTAGCTGCCAGTGACCACCATTCTAACAGTAGCATTTACAATGTGCAGCAAAGACCTCACTCATCAGCTCCTGGGCATGAGAAGTCTCAGAACTCACCTCTCCTTTAGCTTTTGATGGAAAAAGGAAAGGATGGTGGAAAGAGGGAGGAGGAAGTACATAGAACAGGAGCACAGTTCTTGGAAAACTTGACCTTATAGTCCCATCCACCTGGGACAAATAGGGTTCTTGGACGTGTGCATTTTTTCTCTTTCCAACTGGTCCCATTGCTCAAAGCGGTAAAGTGCATGTCGTGTTTGCCGACATTTTTGTTCACTTTAAAATTGGGCTTATTTAATGTGGATTTAGAATCAAAAAAAAAAAAAATCAATAGAATGAGCAGCTTCAGGAGCCAGAGCGAAGGCAGTTGAGAAAGGACAGAATAGGACAGAATTCTAGGGGACTCTCAAACATAATTCAGGAAGCTCTGAAGTTTACTTAGTCTGGGATTCTAAAAAAAGATTAGTTAGGCAATAGTTTACCTTAGACCATTAGAAGATGGACTTTAGCCAAAACAGGCTACCAAACTCAAGAGAAAAGTAGGGGGAAGAAATTATTTTTAGTGTTCTGAGAAAGCTTCAGCCGTATTCCTATGCACGTTTCATTAGTTATTGGCACTTGGTGCTGATTGGGTGAAATTCACTATTTCTAGCACCCCTCATTTCACTCATTCTTTCTCAAAATCATACTTAACCAACTACTGTACCTAGCACTAAGATGGCGGGCAAGGGGTCCAGTACCAGCTGAGGAATGTGGCCCTGTGATTCTCAGTTCTTAGCAGCCTTATCTTAAGGTCATCTTCTCTGATGACCTTAAGATCATCTTCGCTGA